ATATATTAGCTCTGGAGCTAACACTATATATTAGCTCTGGAGCTAACGCTATTAGCTCTGGAGCTAACACTATATATTGGCTTTGGAGCTAACACTATATATTAGCTCTGGAGCTAACGCTATTATCTCTGGAGCTAACACTATATATTAGCTTTGGAGCTAACACTATATATTAGCTTTGGAGCTAACACTATTAACGCTGGAGCTAACGCCTAAACTATTAGCCCTAGAGCTAACACTATTAACTTTGTGGATAATGTTATATATAGATTAGCTCTGGAGCTAACGCTATTAGCTCAGGAGCTAACGCCGTGGCTAATGTGGTATACACCAGCTCAGAGTTAACACCAAATATATTACTTTTGAAGCAAATGCTATTAACTCTGGAGCTAACGCCATACATGTTAACTCTGGAGCTAACGCAAAATTTAAAAGGCTAAATAAAGCTGAGGCGCGTCTTTCTCAAAGTAACACACGAGTCCCAAATTAGGGCAAGCTGCAGGTAACGGATGGATTGTGATTAAAATGACAATAAAAAGTGTTTTTAAGTCTTTTATGTGTCACTATTGTAATAAATTTGAGCAGATGTTCTGATCCCCATGCTTGCTCTGACTGTTATAGAAAGCGGAGCTCTTTGCAGCAGGAGCTCTCTCATACTCAGCACAAACACCAGCTCTCAAAAACTAAAGAGCCCACAGTATTTTTACTGTCTCGTTTTTATAGCCGTTTATCAAAGAAGGTCTACTAGTCGTAGATCCTTTTGAAGTTCAAGTGTTCACAAGTATGAACGAGTGACTCCAGCACGATGCTAACTTGAGGTCGGAAATAAAAACGAACAAGAACCACAAACTCACCGTTTACTTGAAAGTCTATCTGGATTTTGTTGGACTCCGAGAAGGCGACCGGCGTCCATTCCTGCTCCGGCTGCTGTTTGCTGTCGGCTGTGATGTTGCACGAGTAGTACCCTCTGTCAGAGAGCTGCACGCCGGCCAGGCAGAACCGGAACTCTGCCGGACCCGTCTTGGTCAGGACCATACTGTCTCTGAGTAAACAGGTGGGGAAAGGTTTTCAAGTTAAACTATCAGTACATGAAGGAACGCACACATCGCCCACTGCCTTGAAAAGACAGTATAATGTGTAGTACAGCATATAAGACAGTATAATGTGTAGTACAGTATCTAAGACAGTATAATGTGTAGTACAGTATATAAGACAGTATAATGTGTAGTACAGTATACAAGACAGTATAATGTGTAGTACAGCATATAAGACAGTATAATGTGTAGTACAGTATATAAGACAGTATAATGTGTAGTACAGTATCTAAGACAGTATAATGTGTAGTATAGTATCTAAGACAGTATAATGTGTAGTACAGTATCTAAGACAGTATA